TATTTACAACTTTATTATTGTTATTATTTTTTTATATTAAACTCTTAATATTTAAAAGTCACATTAAATCTTGATTAATTTAGAGTTGAGAACTCTCCAAATACATATTTATTCATTTATAAGATTTGAATGTAAGACTTTATTCAAAAAGAATTAAACTCCTTCCACGCAAGCTGACCATTAACAACTTCATTACATGAGCAAAGCGCAGCTAAAAAACATGCCTCGTTTAGAAGTAGAAGCAAACCAGGACATATTGTAACGTGATTAATGTCAACTAAAAGCCAGAATTCCTAGCAATATTTCGACCATATATTGAAGCCAATGGTTCTACCAAAGTTATCTCAGCAAATTTATTACTCCATCTCACAATATTTGCTCTTTTTTTACTAAATTTTTGCTTTACATTATCATTAACTATCATTTTTTTTTTTATTTCTCATTATATAACCTTGTAGGAGAACCCTTTAAAAAAAAACAAAATTTTTTTGGAAGCCATCACTGTAGTTCTACATGACTTATGTGACAAACACCCATCTCTCCTGGCTGTTCCTATAGCCTTTTTTTCCTTTTTTTAATAGTACTAAGTTTCCTAATATCTCAAAATTATATTAAACTATAATTAATTCAACATCAAATAATATCATATTAAATTAAAAAAAAAAATAACATATTTCAATAATTATTTTTCTATTCATAAAACTCAAACTTAAAATCTTATTTGAAAAAAAAACACTCAATTTTTTCCACTCAAATCAACATTCTTGTCCTTCGAGGCTTTAATTAGATTATAATCGTGTATAAGACTAGGAAGCTTTCCGTCTTTAACCTTTTATCCACAGAAAAAAGGTTACACAATACCTCTACTTTTATTCATTGTGGAAATGAACTCTCGTACCCACTTTTAGAATGAATGACATTAAGCGACCTACATTTTGATTGAAAACAAACTAACCAAAATTATTCATATAACAAAATCATTCATTCTATCATTTCATCTTTTCCCTTCAATAAACATCAAAGCAAACAAACACACAAGTTATCAACAATAATAAGTACCCCGATTGCCCAAGCGCAGCAATGATCATGCGTAAACTCAGATGTGTATGAAAAACTAAATGACTAATTGAAATAGAAGCGCTAGAAAATGGTGGCAAATAGTCTAGCCAACTTTTGTTCTATGTAAAACTCAGACGTCAATGTCAACCAAAACCAATTCAGCACTACAAATGTGCAACCATATCATACTTTGCATTTTAACTAGCACAAAAAGGACAGACTACTAGATATCTCAGTATCACGATAGCAGTTGAAGAACAGATATGAAGCAAAGAATCACAGCCTTCTTCCACGCCTGCCACCCTTTCTGCGGGTGCTGTCAGTGGGGATTGGGGTGACATCCTCTGCAAAGAACAGCATTGCACGTCAGTTTAATCTATAAATATAAATGTAAAATAAGAAAGACCTGACATATAAAAAAAGAGTGGCCTAAAAGCTTGAGAAATAAAGGATGAGGAGTTATACCTATGCGACCAATTTTCATGCCAGAACGAGCAAGAGCCCTAAGTGCAGACTGGGCACCAGGACCAGGGGTTTTAGTCTTGTTCCCTCCAGTAGCTCGGAGCTTTATATGAAGGGCAGTAATACCCAGTTCCTGAACATAACAAACACAACAAGAATAAGTCCATTGGACCATTGAAATGTTAACTACATAACTGTAGATCAATTTCAGGGAGCAAGTCATGACACCTTGCATCTTTGAGAAACATCTTGTGCTGCAAGCATGGCTGCGTATGGGGAAGATTCATCCCTATCAGCTTTGACCTTCATACCACCTGCACTTGGATGGAGGAAAATTGCGTCACTAACATCACCATCTTTAAAAAATAACTCACACAACATGTTGGAGCTTAAATAACCATGTAAAAGAAAACCTATTATCTTTATTTTCATACAATAATTATTCCCATTCTAGTTGTACTGATAAACTGACATCTTCAGCAAAATCCCATGGCAGATAGACAATGAAAATAACAAATACAAGGTGTTAAAAACATGCAAATTACATAGGAAGCCAGTATAGAATACATGTCAGAGAGAGCGAGGCTAAAATACAAATCATACCGGTTATGCGAACCATTGTTTCCCTTCCAGACAAGTCAGTCACATGCTGCAATTAAAAAAATGTATTTACAAATTTGAACTTCAAAAACCTAACACTAAAAGACATAAATTATAGCTTACAATAAATGTGTCATTGAATGAGGCAAAAATGTGAGCGACACCAAAAACATGTTCTCCCTCTCTTACAGCAGGTCCAAGGGTCACATTGTCCTCCTTGGGTTCCCTGGTCTTTCCCTTTCTTCCAGACTACAAGGTCCAACATCAGAAGAAAATCAGAAATTAATAATCAAATTTCAACTTTCTTTAACAAAAATAAAGACAAACTAATTTTCCTAAAGACATGGGGACTAAGCTATTCACTACAAATAAAAGTAAGCAATGCAACTGTATCCAAGCCAATAGGAAATTTTCAAGAAACCTTGGACTGGCACAAGAAATAATTGTTTATGTGCCAATAAGAGGACCACATGAGGCTAACTTATGAAATTCTAAGTCCAATTATTTTGAATTTTACTACAAACATCTCCAACAGAAACAGAAAATAAGGTCTCAGATTAGTCTCCAAAAAGGTAAAGAAAAGCACAGGAAAAAGAAAACAGAGCATAAAAAATTCAGTGCAATACACAACAGATTCACATCACACCATACACTTCCTTCAAAGCTAAACAATCTTCTAGCATAAAAAAAATCATAGACTAGCACATTTTACAGTATGACTATGAATTGAAACATCTTCTAAAACCAACTCGACTATGCAAGAAAATCAGAGTGCCTAGTCGCCGAGAAAATCAAGGGAAAGTAGAATCACAAACTCAGATGCATTCAGTTGCAGGATCCTGCAAATCCAAATTAACTAAAGCAAATACAGGATTTGGTCTTCGTTAAACGACATGAATACAAGCTGAAAACCATAAAGATGGCCATGCTTCTGTTACTGACCCTATTTCCATTCCAGCACTTTCTCGGAATCCAAACAAAAGGTAACTTATCATACACAATCGAAATCGGGGAGATATATTAGACAAGAGAAGTAGGTTCGAGAAGTGTTACCATGGCTTCAAGCAGATGACGAGGCGCGAAAAACTA